CTTAAGAATATGGAGAAATGATCTGCAAAGCAGGGCAAAATAGTCCATAAAGACTATGGCCCAGGACTGCTTGTTGTTCTGTTAAGATATAGGTAGAACAGCAAGTAACAGACTTGAGAAAATAGTGGCTTAAACTAGACAGTATTTTCTTTTTCTGTCACATTATTGTTTAGTCAATCAGTCATGTCCGACTCTCTGTGAGCCCATGGACTGCAACACACCGGCTTCCCTGTCCTTCACTATCTCCTGGAGTTTGCTCAGACTCATGTCCATTGAGTCGATGAGGCCATCTTACCCTCTGCTGTCCTCTTCTCCTGCCTTCAATATTTCCCAGCATCAGGGTCTTCTCCAGCAGGATGCTCTTTGCATTAGGTGGCCAAAATATTGGAGCAAGCTTCAGCATCAGTCCTTTCAATGAATATTCAGGACTGATTTCCTTTAGGATGGACTGATTGGATCTCCTTGCTGTCCCAAGGATTCTCAAGAGGCTTCTCCAGCACCACAGTTTCAAAGTGTCAATTCTTCATCACTCAGCCTTCTTTATGGTCCAACTCTCATATCCATTTTTACATAGTTATCTCAAAAAAGACAGTCCATGGGTGATATGGTGGCTGTGCGCCACAAAGTCCTCAGGGATCCTGGCTCCTTCCAGCTAACTATCCACTAGTTATCAGTCTACATAATGAAGTTATTAGTAGTACATAATTTTAATTTATTATTATGATTAAATTATTTCTACATAATGAATTTAATACTATTTCTACAAAATGGAGTTTTGTACTCAGGATACAATATGGCTGCTGGAACTTAAAGCATTACATCTACATTCCAGGCAATCAGGTAGAAGGAGAGAAGGGAAGAGGCAAAACTAGTCTGCTAACATCAAAATGAAGGTCCCTAGAAGCTGTCATCTGCTTCCAAAACGCTGCAAAGAAGGTCGGGCAAAATTGTTTTGTTTTGGAAAGTCCTATGGTTAACATGGATGATGGAAAGAACGCATATTTAGAAACAACCATTAGTTTTACCCACAGTCACTGAAAGTCCCTTGAGGAGCATGTATAACCTTTTTTATTGGTCTGATCTTAATGATCCTATCGACTATGGTCTAACTGCTGGTATAGAGTTTTCTTCACTGATTTGGGCTGTTGCTTATACTCATGCTTGCAAAGGCTACAGACTTGGGTGACCTCAAATAATGGAGCACTTACTATAATTGCAATATATATATTACAACTAATACAGTTGTATATTACAATTATATTAATGTGCAGGGGAAGGTTTTCATGAAGTGGCTGGTGAGGCAAGCCTCATTTTCCAAAAATGGCTGCGACCACATTTTTGGACATGCATACTCTTCGAAGACTTTGCCACTCTCTTCTTTAAGAGGTGGAGTTTATAACCCCTCACTTGGGAAGACGGGTTCAACCACCTCGGTGAGTTAAGTATGGATGGCAGGAGTGACACTCTGTGACATCAGAGTCTAGATCAGAAAAAGTGAGAGCCTCCATCTTGATCACCTTTGGAACACAGCTCCCATGCTCCTAATCAACAGCTGGCACTAACTTGCAAGTCACTAAAGGAGGCATTTTGGAAGCAAATCTGCTAGTTCTCAGCTAAGGGGATGTGGAGAATACATGAGCCTTCTCCATTGAGCCCTCTGGACACTGGGTATTTTTAAGAAAATAAATGATTATGGTTGTTTTAAATTGCAAAGTTTGAGGGCGATTTGTTATAAAGCAGTAAGTCACCAGAATGGTCAGGATCTTCCCTTGTATCTCAGTCGGTAAAGAATCTGTCTGCAATGCAGGAGACCCGGGTTCAATTCCTGGGTCAGGAAGATCCCCTGGAGAAGGAAATGGCAACTAACTCCAGTATTCTTGCCTGGAGAATTCTATGGACAGAGGACCCTGGCAGGCTATAGTCCATGGGGTCACAAGAGTCGGACACCACTTAGTGACTAAACCACCACCACCGTGGTCAGGAATCAAGGAAATTTGCATGATCTTGGAGAGTGAAAGTTAGGCCTCATGAGCATGGGAATGTAGATTTAGGAATGGGAGGACTGGGAATTCCCTGGTGGTCCAATGATTAGGACTCCATGCCTTTGCTTTCACTGCCAAGGGTGAGGCTTCAACCAATGGTCATGGAACTGAGATCCTACAAGTTGTGGCTAAAAAAAAAAAAAAGGAATAAAGGGATCATTCAGGACCCAATATTGTTCAGGTGAGATTATCTTTGTATCCTTGAGTGTCAGCATCCAATCAGGAGAAAGAATTTGAACAAGGAAAGTTTAAACAATCACTGTAACAGGGTATTAGAGGAACTAGTCATTGTTGTTTAGTTGCTAAGTCATGTTTGACTCTTGCAACCCTGTGGACTGTGGCCGCCAGGCTCCGCTCTCCACAGGATTTCCCAGGCAAGAATACTGGAGTGGCTTGCCACTTCCTCCTCCAGGGGAGCATCCCACCCTGGCGATTGAACACTCGGCTCCTGCTTGACAGTGGCTTCAGTTCGGTTCAGTTGCTCAGTCGTGTCTGATTCTGTGACCCCATGAGCTTCAATACGCCGGGCCACCCTGTCCATCACCAACTCCTGGAGCTTGCTCAAACTCATGTCCATCGAGTCAGTGATGCCATCCAACCATCTCCTCCTCTGTCGTCCCCTTCTCCTCCAGCCTTCAGTCTCCCCCAGCATCAGGGTCCTTTCCAATGAGTCAGTTCGTTGCATCAGGTGGCCAAAGTATTGGAGTTTCAGCTTCAGCATCAGTCCTTCCAATGAATATCCAGCACTGATTTCCTTTAGGATGGACTGGTTTGATCACATTGAGGTCCAAGGGACTCTGAAGAGTCTCTTTCCCTCTATTCCAAACTTTTTTTTTTAATGAATGAGTATTAAATTTTGTCAAATACTTTCTCTCTTCTTAAACCTGTTAATACAGTGGATTACTTTGGTTGGTTGTGAAAGAACCAGTTTTGCATACCTGGAATTAAACCTCCTAGGCCATGTAATTAAACCCTCTTGCTGCATAATTCTTTTTATACATTGTTAGGTTTAATATGCTAATATTTTGTTGAGTATTTTTACGCTTAAGTTTTAGAGACAGATGGATTCTCCAGAAGCAATCTCATCTCTACATATTAACAATAAACACCAATGTGCAGGTATTATTTGTACTGTCTTTGGTCTTTGTATTACAGATACCATGAACAACAATCCAATCAAAATAAATGTGACCTTAAGAGTCACCCAAACTACTCTCACATTGTGGGTAGTGTGACAGTGGCCATTTTTTTATCCTGATTTTTACTACCAGGAATTATTTATTGAGAACCTAATATTCTTGGTGTAGAATGTTTATTTAACAAAGTACCTGATAATGCCATTCTTTTTTTCTACTTAAAAAAATATCAACTTTCTGAGAAAAGGAGCCAGGGCTGTGCATATGTTCCATTTATTTGTTATAATCAAGTGTGTGCCTAGTAAAATGAGTAAAACTAGTAAAATGAGACTTACAATTAAATATAGTGACTTAACAACAAAGGGCTCAAAAACAAAAATCCAAACCAAACCAATTAAAAAACCAAAGGGCTAAAAAAAACCCAAAAATACAAAGGGCTAAATTTCACAGTAATTTAAAAATCAAACTGAGTAATCCCAACACTTATGATTAAAGTTTAAAGGAAAAAAGTCTTTTTCCTTGCATAAATGAAATATATACAACTGTTTATAGACAATATTCAAAAATACATTAAGATTCACGATCTTTTGTGATGAGTATGTAAATACTGCTTTATTTGGCTGGACTACCTAACAATGTCAGCACTTTATGGTAAGAACACCATGCCCTGCACATACTCTGCATTTTTCTGTTATTATGAGCAATTTTAGATAGCTTCTTTTTCCCTTCCCCTTTCAGAGTCTGTTTATATGCCCTTATTATCTTGACATCATTCCATGTCTCATATCCTTTTATTCTTGAAAACATATAGTACATTGGCGGGCTTGAGTTTTTGTACCGATAATGTAAGTTTACTGTTAATCAAAAACTTGGCCAAATTCCTACTGCCTTTTTTTCCCCCAAGTGATCATTTTGGGTTTTTAAATTTTCATTTACGTATATAGCACAACTACTTCTTCTAAGTGGTCAGTTAACAGTTTATAAAATCTAGACCAGATGAGATCCAGGAGTATTAAGGCCTCAAAGGTGTATTTTAATTTAATTAAAAAATTAAGATTTCTTAAACTCCACAGCAGCATATCTACCATTCCAGGCATTTCAAAAATCTGAAGGGCAGACAGAAGGATTTACTGTTACTATAATTAGAAAAATCATCACAGAGTTCACAAACATTTCAAATACAATTATGAGTAATGCAAACCTGGAACTGCCTTTTCATGGAGATGTACTCTTAAAGAGTTAGTTCGGTTTTTAGATAGTTTTCCAGAGAGTGGTTTATTCGAGGTGAATAAGATGAAATAAATCAGTGTACACAAAATAATTAAAACTTTTATTTATAAATTAATGAACTATAATAAACATGACCAAACAACAAAGAAAGTTACTGGCTTCTATTCATTATGGCTAGAAAAATAAATTACTTAAACAAGTATCTAAATCTGCCTCCTGCTTCCAGAGAAATTAATGTGTTGTATATACATATTTTCAAATTGTTCCCAACTCTTACTCCAACTCAAGACTTGGGTAGTACTCTATTTTTTTTTACATAGGAATTGTAAACAGTCTTTTGAAAAGCTAAAAGAGTAAAAAATATTAAAATTTTATAAACCTTATAGTCTGGATTGATCATGATTAATTTGTGGAAATACACAGTACAAATCTTTCAACCACCCACAATTAGGTCTGTTATACATGGAAAATAAATTTTATGACTGTCAGATTTTACTAATATCCTTGAAAGGTAGACTGTTCCCAATAAGTAATCCTTCCACCACGTCTGTATACTTTCTACATTCTCAATTCAAAAAGAAACAACAAACAATTATTTGACTTTTTGCTTTTTTCTTGCTTGAAACTGCTCTGTTTTGTTTTTTACAGATTTAATCAACAATGACAAGGCAGGATCAATGGATCTCTTGTGTGATTCCTTTTGAATTTCACTCTCCTTTTTCTTTACTGCCTGAGTAAGTTCTTGCTCTTTTTGTTCTCTCTGACGGGCTTTCTCCTCAAGGATTTTTTCCATAGCTTTTGTTTTCTTGAAATTAGGATCTGAAGGATCCAAATTGAACAAGTGGGAAGTATACATTGCCTGAAACCTTGCATCCTTAACATTGACCTGCAAACCCAAAAGGAAAGTATAAACACATAAAATTAGTAAACCTAATAAGACCAGAGTTCAAAAAGTCAGTGAACTGATGATAAAAAATACAAATGTATTTTGCATTGACTCATTAGAAAGCCATTCCTCCACAGATCTTCAATGGAGTTTTTAAGTTTATTCTTGAACCCCATGTGCAGGGCACACTGTTCTTATCACACAATGACAATATCCTTGGAAGGGAATTATCACAGTCTATATGTTACACAGTGGTCTGTTACTACCGCAGCCTCTTAGACTGTCTGCAGGAGTGACCAAAGGAGACACAGGCTCGCCTATGCTTACCGTGTGAAATCTCTTTCTGGCTGAGATAATTAAGCCAATGATGGTATCTCCTATTGGAATTTTAGGCAAAGTCACTGCCTTCTTAGTACAATAAAATTTTTTTTCAACCTTGGTGCCAAAATGAGCAGCTACTGGGGGTGAATCATAACAGCAGATTTAAAGATCATAATGGGAAATTTGGTACCCCCAAGACTAAGATCTGATTAGATACAAGCTCCAAATTTATCCTTTATCTTTCTACAAAAACACTGCATCCTTTATCTTTCTACAAAAACACTGCGTTCCGACATTTTAAGAGCATACTCTTAACTCCAGCCAGGCCTTCAAGTATTGCTGGGTACAGGAGTGACCAGACAGAAAGTGAGCATGACTCCCTCACTGCCACTCATCATTCCCCTGTGAAAAAGAGCCCACCCAGAGATGGACTGTAGAGTTATTTGTAGTAAGGACCACAGGCGTGATACTACTACCACACTCACGAAAAATGTTTTTATATGTGATGGTCATCATGCATAAGATATCATTTTCTGCATGATGATTAGTTATCATAATAGAAGATTTGACTATAAATCATTCTCTGCTTTTAACTTTTTCTAAAGAAAACTAATTTACCAAAAATTGATTCAGTGGAACAGCACCATACTTGGAGCTGACTTACAGAAACCAGAGTTACACAGTGGTCTCAAAGTCCCTCTCAATGCTGCTTAGAAGTTATTTGTATGCTTGTCTCAATTCTCTAAACAAATTCAAAATCTCTCCCATCTTCTTCGGAGTCTATTCTTCCATGCCAATGGATGGAAGTCATCAAATAGTTCCTGAGAGCTGTCTGTAAGTTTTCTGTACAGCGCTGAAACCCAAGAATAGGGACTGTGTGGCCACTAGAAATATGTACTTAGCAAAAAAAGAGGGAAAAGAGGGAACAGTGGAAACAAGAGAGCAATTAAAAAAGTGTGGCCTGGGACTTTCCCGGTGGTCCAGTGGTTAAGGAACTGACTGCCAACGCAGGAGATGTGGGTCTGACCCCTGGTAGAGGAAGACTTCACAAACTGGACAACTAAGCCTACATGCCTCAACTGCTGAGCCCATGCACCCTAGAATTCATATTCCTCTGAGAACCCATCACAACGAGAAGCCTGAGTACCACAGCTACAGGGTAGCCCCTGCTCACCAGAGCTAGAAAAAGCCTGTGCAGAGCAACAGAGAGCCCATGCAGTGAAACGCAGACCCAGCGCAGCCAAAAAAAAAAAACATCGCACCTATGGCTCTGGCTCTTTCACACAGAGTGTGATGTCAATCTGCTGTTTTGTTGTCAGGCTTAATGATGCAGAACTTTCCCAGTGTGAGCATCACACTGCATGTGATTCTAACGCTAAAAGCTACATATTTTGGTAAAACATAGCTACCAAAAGAGAAGCCTACTACTTCACCTGACACTCAGAGAACCACCCTGGGGATGAACTGCTTATACTGGACTAAAAAGATGGTAGTTTTGGCTCCACAATGGGTCCTTCCTGAGATCAAGGGGCCAAGCTCAATTTTTATCTAAAGAGCTGACTTTAGATTCAATGCCAGCTTTTAACAGAATAATGACTTCTGTCCCTGGTTACCTCAAAGTCATCCTCCAGTAATTCCTTCTTCTTCATGAGCTGTTTCTTCTTCTTTTTGCTCAGATTCTGGTGCTCCACAATCTTGTTATAATTGAAGTGTTTCTTGCTCTCTTCCTCCTCATCCATCACAAGCAAAGCCATCTCAGCCTGTGGAGAGAAAAAAAGAGTTCAAATAAACAACAGTGTTTTTCTCTCCTCAAACAGGAGTATGGAGCACAGAAGTCCCCTCAGAAAAGGAGAAGCCCGCCATCAGTGCTCTGGGGTGACACCTGTCATCCACCACTGACTGTGGATCACTGAACCCATAAAGAAGCCCACAGACCGCTGTACAGCACAGGTGTAATTTTTTAGAGCAGCATCACTGACAACAGGAGAGGCGTGAACGCTTTATTTAAAAACCAGACCATATTTCATACTATGTAACTGATCAGTAGGTGGTAGAAACAGAAGTCCTCAAGTTCCCCAAATAAAAATTCCTCATTTTCACTTTGGTCTTTTTGAGCAGACACTAAATCTCGTAAACATGTAGTAGGTTGTGATAGAGACTAGACTTTCCACATATGTGCTTTAGGAACAATGAGCTCCTTTTTTCTTTTGCTGTTTTTGCCTCTACTTCTTCAATATTGATATATTTCTATGAAGGCAAGATCTTAATATTTGCTTCTGAAATCTAATATAATGCCTGTTTCCACTCAACAGGTATTTTCTACTGACCACAGGATTAAATGTAAATCTTCAAGAATCAAGTAAACAACCATGCATGCTACAGAAAAAACAATCTTCCTCCACTACCCACTTGGACTGCTTTAATTTCCTCTCCTTTCCATGACTGGTACCTACAGCTGGCTTTCTTTTTAGAATGATTTTCTACAAACAAAGATTTTCTTTGTGTTCCTTAACTCTATGAACACTATTGCATATGCAATAAAAGATGCATTAAGATGCAGAGTTTAGGTGACCAGCCTGGCTCCCTCCTAGAGAGTGCTGGAACATCAGACTCAAGAATGCTGCTGACTCCAATGCCTGTCTCAGCAAAAACACGTACTACTTTGTGCTGTGGGTTATGATGAAGTGCTTAAGGATAATATTCACTACACTTCCAAGAAAGGCTTTAATTCTGCACATTAATTTTCAATAATAAAAAGAGAGAAAGGAGCATTTAACAAGCCATAAAGCAAACTCTATTACAGGACAGATTCAGACTGAATTAAAACCACGTCAATATTATTTTGAGGTTTTAATATTAGTATTTTTGTCTCTTATTGTTGGTTTTGTCCTTTATTGTCAGTTATAATAAGGGTTTTAAAAGATAAGATATTTTCCTCTTAATCACAAAGGGACATGCCTTGGGTGTGAGCTAAATTTTAACTCTGTACTTGGAGAAATGTTTGGTGAAAAGGAGATATTTTAAAATAATGCTGCTAAAATATTTGTAAACTTCACTGTTAAAATCAGTTATTTTTTAATTAGACATACTGGAAACTCATATGGACACTTTCATTTGAAGTGTACACATCACTTGTCCATTAAACATGTAACCATGACCATTACCTTTTGTCTTTCTATTTCAGCTTCTTCCTCTGGAGTTACGTCATCTTTTGCAGATTTTGTTGATTTTTTCTTTTCTTTTATACCTGGCACAACAAACCAACATAGAAGGGTTAAAAATTATGACTATCACAAACAGAAATTTGCTTATACTATTTATTTAAAAAATTTTGTTTATAACAAAAATGCAAGGTATCTAGAAATAATCTTACCTATAAATATATAGAAACTAAAGAAACAAACAAAAAAAAGTATTACTGGGATGACTATGGGTATGAATAGAATAATAATGGTCTGGACATGATGAGTGAATATTATAAAAAAGGAATTTCTTCTTAAAGTAATGTATAATTCTACATCAATTAAAAAGAAAACTTGTAAGATTATTTTGGCAGAAATGGAATAAACACTAGATAGAATTCAGTATCTTCTCATATATACATTTAATAAAATTCTAAATAAAATTTTATTCAAGGAAATCTTTGCAAGGAATGAGATAGATCTGATTTACTACTGATACAGTATGCTAAAGTGTACTACAAAGTGGAAAAAACCAAAAATGTTGTAACTATACAATGAGAAAAATAGAACAGTGTGGCTTAGCATACAATAAAATGTAGCATCATACGTCACTGGAAAAAGAAGGGATTATTCAATAGCTGGTGCTAGGCAACTTGTTCTATTCTGCAAAGTAATCCTTGAGTGATAGCTGTGTGCATGTGCTCAGTCACTCATTCATGTCCGAGTCTGTGCGACCCCACTGACTGCAGCCCACCAGGCTCCTCTGTCCATGGGATTTCCCAGGCAAGAATACTGCAGTGGGTTGCCATTTCCTATTCCAGGGGATCTTCCCAACCTAGCAGCCATACTGCATAATGTACAGAAAAACAAAATGCAGATGTATTAAAGAGTTAAAACTAAAAAACAAACAAACAAACAAAAAAAACCTATGAAAAAATACAGGGGAACAGCTACCTGATCTTAAAGTAGAAGAAACATTTTCTTAGCATAAGCACAATAGAAGAGATCAAAGAAAAAAAAAAGTAATTTAAATATATAAACTCTTAAAACTCATCAGCAAATTGAAAAATTCATCTGTTTAGTGACAATTTGACAATAACTACCTGGAAGTAAAAGTTTAACAAAACCCTTTCTCCTTCTTCAAAGACAAAGCTGATCTTTGTTTAACTTCCTGTTGTCTACTATTATTAGACGAAATTACTTATGGCAAAGGTGGCTCTTGATTAGAAAAACTTCCAAGGATGCAGGGACTTCTGGAGACCACAAGATGTCAGATGAGATGTTCCTGAAGGGGAGGTAGTAACCAATGGCAGTTAAGAGCACTTGAGTCTGGAGTGATTAGCTTGGGTTTAAACTCTGGCTAAACTCCACTCAAGCTATAGCATTCATGTTTGTGTCCTTCTTTGTAAAGTGGGGCACCTACCATCTAGGGTTACTGTGAGGACTGAGTTAACATCAGGCACATGGTGCTATAAACTACCTGCTATTACTGTTATAACATTCTGGCTACATGTATATGATGTTCTGGGTTCCTTGTGATCACACAGATGCTCTGTTTTATTCTTTTTGTGTGTCTGTTGGGAAGAGTTCAAAGATAATTGGTATCAAAGTATGAAGAACCAGTCTGAAGAGTAGGAAGCTTCAGAATCCACAGAGCCACCTTCCAGAATGTTATTACACCATGTCAGCCTTCTCTGAGCTGCTGGACACTGTCTTACTTGTATTTGGATGAGCTCAGATTTGTCCTTCCAATGCAAAGAAACCAATGGTTATACTACTTTAGAAAACAGTAACAATTTAATACTGCTACAGCACTTCCTATGCATCAGGAAACAGTGCTTTTTACTTCCTTTTATGTATGAACTACTTTAATCCTCAAAATAACACTATGAGGTAGATTCTATTATTTATTACAATTTTCATTCTGTTGTTGACAAAACTGAAACAGAGAGACTGAGTCATTTGTCTCAAGCTGAGTAAGCAGAGGAACCATGATGCAAACCCTAGCACTCCAGTTCAGGCTCTGGTAACCCCCACACTCTACCCTGCACTATCAAATGTCACTCTCCCTGGAGCAGTTCTTTCCATTTACAAAGCACTTTGTTGTGAAATAATACATTTCAGAGAACATATCATGATGGCTGAATAACCATATCTAGTGGCGGATAACAGGAAGTCAAGATAAGCTTTCTTTTTTTAAAATTTATTTATTCTTAATTGGAGGACAATCGCTTTATAATATTGTTTGGTTCCTGCCACACATCAACATAATCAGCCATAGGAATACATATCTCCCCTCCCTCTTGAACCAGTTTAGAAGCTGCCTTGCAGGCATTAGCCCTCTGCATGGGGGCAGCCCTGCCCAGCTGAGAGAAGATGACGGTGTATAAAGTGTGGCCAAGTTCACCCCTCACTGCTGCCAAGGCATCTGTCTGCACTTTCAAGAAGAAACATTATTGTATGTAGTCCAAGTGAGACTGTGTTCCTTATCTCGAACGTTTCTCAGGGAATGATATATCTGTTTTAAGATTATAGCCTTTTCTCCGCTGTAAAGTACATGCACATACATGTCACACACATACATAGTATCATCAAGGTTCCACTTTCTCAGAGTCTGACTCCCACTCCCTCAGTTTACCGCTGCTCCTATACTCTTAAGGCAAGAGCTCCTTTTGAAGTGAACAGACAAGTGACATGTGCAGAAGATCACTCCAGCACGGGAAAAAATCAGGCTGTCTAGGATTAATACATGAAGGAGATAAAGATCTTCACATACAGCTGTGGGAAATCCTTTCAAAGAACCCACAATGAACTGTTTCAGATTTTATAACAACCTGGTGAAAAGCCATAAAAATAAACTTGAAAGGAAGACTTCAGTAGGGAGGAAAAAAGTCTCCAAGATGGTTGGGACTAAAAATGGTATCTAATTTTAGTGTGATGAAAATTTCTTTGCTCAAGAAGAATTTACTGTGTGCTAAACTGAACTGTTTAGTCCGAAGATAAATAACGTGTAGAGACCCTTTCTGCACTGTTAACAAGACTGTAGTAAGCGGGCACATCTTTATTTATTCATTTATTTAAGAAAAAAAAAAGCATTTTCCTTTTGGAAAGTTTTCAGACCTAATTTAGATGAAGACTACTGGGGAAATGAAAGTCCCTGTTCTGAAATGTTACCTTTATAACTTCATTTTCCATTACTTGTAAAGTCAGAGAACTGTTCTTGTAAAAAAGTTCTCTCAGAGTGCTCAGTTGAGCACTTCTTGTGGGACAGCAGTTAAGAGAAGGCACTGGAGGGCAGACTGGTCTCTGTACCTACCAGACGGGAGAGGTAAGTCCCCTAATGATTCACACTTAGCAGCAAGCTCCTGCACCCAAGAGCGCTGACTCATAATCAGATACAATATACAGCCTGTGTATCTTCCTCTGAACCAAGGCATTCAGCCTTGCCTGGAAAGCCAGCAAGTCCTTGTGTCCAGCTCTGACACATATGGATCCTAGCTCTGCTCTTTACAATGCACTTGAAGAGTTACAAAATGCTTATAAAACCATTTGTAAACTGTAAAGTAACATATGAGTAGTATACTGTAAGTACTCAGCATACTGGCTGAATGAACCAAGTACGTTATACTTTACTAGATTTTTTTTTCCCATCATGTTGTGTGGTCTGTGAGATCTTAGTTCCCCCTTAGTTCCCATCCAGGGATTGAACCTGTGCCCCCTGTACTGGAAATACGAAGTCTTAACCAACAGATTGCCAGGAAGTCTCACCTTTTTAGGTTTTCTTGGTATTTTATCAAATATCTAAAGTTGTCAAGACAAAGGATACACTCTAATAGGGTATATTTACATGTGATATACTTTAATTCACTCCTACTTCTTAAAAAACAAAATCTTATTAGAGTTTATGCAATTAGATAGCAATAAGCACATTATCCCACCATCTCATTTCTACAAAAAAAAAATGTTTTAACTCATTCTAGAAGTACATTTTCAAAACTCACATCTAATATTGAGTTTGCAGCTTAGAATAAAATAGAAAGAACACAGCAAATTTAGAGTGTATAGGGAAGAAAGAGAAGGAAGAATTGAAAAAGATTTCTGGTACTCATATTGGCTCCTAACCCAAGCCAAATACCAGGTCTGGCATCAGTCAGGGAACTTGATTTCTCCATATTTTTTGAACAGTAAGTTAGCTCTGGGACTGCCTGGGGTAAAGCTGTTATAAACATACTGAAGTCCATCTGGCTTAGAATGTCTCTGTCCTGCTCAACCATGGGAACTGAACTATATACCCTTCCAAACACAAACGCTTTTCCTATTTCAGAAACGCTTTTCCTATTTCACAGCTGTTCCTTCTCAGTTTCTTAAACTTTCCTACCTTCCAGGTATACTGTCTCCAGGATAGGGTACTTTATGCAGGCTCTTGATTTCAGGGCCCACACATGCATCTTCCTCTCTCACCAACACTTCCTACCTCTCGTTCTGTGGTTTGAAATACTATTTATAAGCTAACAATTCCTAAGTATATATTTGCAATTCAGCTGATCTCCAAGGCTCACATATAAATGTTAATCTAATACCTCCATGTAGATATCTGATTGACATCTTAGACCAATTATATACTACTTACTGATCCTTTCCCTCTCCTTAACTCAGTAAATAGAAGAACATAATTGCAGCCACAGGACTGAAAAAGGTCAGTTTTCATTCCAATCCCGAAGAACAGCAATGCCAAAGAAAGTTCAAACTACTGCACAACTGCACTCATTTCACATGCTAGAAAAATCATGCTCAAAATACTCCAAGTTAGGCTTCAACAGTACGTGAACCAAGAACTTCCAGATGTTCAAGGTGAATTTAGAAAAGCCAGAGGAACCAGAGATCAAATTGCCAACATCCGTTGGATCACAGGAAAAAGCAAGAGAATTTCAGAAAAATACCTACTTTTGCTTCATTGACTATGCTAAAGCCTTTGACTGTGTGGATCACAACAAACTCTGGAAAATTCTTTTTTTTTTTGGAAAATTCTTAAAGAGATGGGAATACCAGACCACCTGACCTGCCTGCTGAGAAACCTGTATGCAGGTCAAGAACCAACAGTTAGAACCAGACGTGGGACACGAAACTGGTTCCAAATTGGGAAAGGAGTGCATCAAGGCTGTATATTTGTCACCCTGCTTATTTACCTTATATGCAAAGTATATTACGAGAAATACAGGGCTGGATGAAGCACAAGTTAAAATTAAGATTGCTGGGAGAAATATCAATAACCTCAGATATGCAGATGACACCACCCTTATGGCAGAAAGCAGAGGGACCTAAGAGCCTCTTGATGAAGGTAAAAGAGAGTGAAAAAGCTGTATTAAAACACAACATTCAAAAAACTAAGATCATAGCATCAGTCCCATCACTTCATGGCAAACAGATGGGGAAACAATGGAAACAGTGACAGACTTTATTTTCTGAGGCTCCAAAATCACTGCAGATAGTGACTGAAGCCATGAAATTAAAAGATGTTTGCTCCTTGGAAGAAAAGCTATGCCAAACCTAGACAGCATATTAAAAAGCAGAGATATCACTTTACTGACAAAGGTGGGTTTAGTCAAAGCTATGGTTTTTCCAGTAGTCATGTGTGGATGAGAGAGTTGGTCTATAAAGAAGGCTGAGTGCCAAAGAATTGATGCTTTTGAACTGTGGTGCTGGAGAAGACTCTATAGAGTCTCTTGGACTGCAAGATCAAACCAGTCAACCCTAAAGCAAATCAACCCTGAAAATTCACTGGAAGGACTGATGCTGAAGCTGAAGCTCCAATGCTTTGGCCACCTGATGTGAAGAGCTGATTCACTGGAAAAGACCCTGATGCTGGGAAAGATTGAAGGCAGGAGGAGAAGGGGACAACAGAGGACGAGATAATTGGTTGGCATCACCAACTCAGTAAACATGACCTTGAGCAAGCTCTGGGAGATGGTGAAGGACAGGGAAGCCTGGCATGCTGCAGTCCATGGTGGGCGGGGGGCGGGGGGGGGGGCGGGTCACAAAAAGTCGGACATGACTGAGTGACTAAACAACAACTGCAGAGATTCAAAACAAGAATCTAGGAGTCATGCTAAATTTCTTCCTTATCCAAATAAAAAATTGGTAAGTCTACTTCCAAAATATATCTAGAATCCCATTCACTTTCCTTCTTTGAAAATATTACTAGTAAGCTGTGTAGACTAACCATCTTGTCTAGACCTCTGCAAAAGCCTGGTCTCCCAGCTCTCAGCATGCTTTCTTCAGTCTGTTCTCCGCAGGACCCAGAGGAGCAGGCTTACATACATACCACACCACGTAACATCCTTGCTTTAAGACCCGTTAGTGGCCTCCCACTATCAGTGAGTAAAACCCAAATTTGTCACTGTGACACAAGGCCCTGCCTCACACTAAACTGCCCTCTGCCCACATTCCAGCCACAATGGTGTCTTTCAATTCCACCACACATTCTTTCTCACCTCATGGCTGTTCTACCCACCTTCCCCTCATTTGCAATGCTCTTTCCCCCAGCTCTCCGTGCCCGACTCCTCCTCATTCTGCACGTCTCATCTCAAATGTTACCATCTCCAAGAAGCTTGCTTCACTCGCCCTATATAAGAAAGCCACTCTCCTTCTTCTCTGGTACATGCTCTGTATTATCCTATTAGTTCCTTTAGAATACTGATCCTATTCTCATTAACATTCTTATTTGTTACCTGTAAAGAATCTGCCTGCAGTGCAAGAGACCCAGGTTCAGTCCCTGGGTTGGGAAGATCCTCTGGAGAAGGAAATGGCAACCCAGTAGCCTTACCTGGAAAATCCTATGGATAGAGGAGCCTGGTGGGTTACAGTCCATGGGGTCACAAGAGTCAGACATGACTTCGTGACTAAACTACCACTTCATGTCTTCCCTTCCCGAAAACCATAAACTCTGAGGGATGTAACTTTGCTTGTATTATTAGTACTGTATCTCTAGCATACCAGAGTGTTTAGCACCTGGCAGGCACTCAAAAATATTTATTGAAGAATGAGTAAACAATATATGGTGAGACCATGTCTTGGTCTAATTTTTATGTAAATTAAAAAAAAATCACTTTTTCCTTAAAAGAAAACAAGATATAAATTATTATTCCTAGGAACTATTCTGAAATCAAAAGTATATTGAAAACAAGCAAACTTTATCTGCATTTTCCTTTGGAACTTTTGATACTAACTTTAAAGAAAACTATTCACAATTTAAATGTGCTGATTCCAAGAAACAATTTACCCTAAGCCACCACGCTACATAACTTACTCTTTGAATTCTACTCTGAGTTCTGCAGTTTGACCAGATTTCACAAGCCAAATGAAGCACTTTGGAATGAGAACAAGGAAACGATAATGCTTCACATTTCTCCATTATAAACTTGGTTTCCTGAAATGCGAGAATAAGGCTAAAATCCATCATCTTCTAGAAATGACTGCTCAGGTATGATAAGAAGAATATGTTAAGTTTCCATTTCCCTTTCCAATTCCTAAGAATCTCACATCCTATAATAGAGTTTATTCATCTTGACCCCCTTTTTCATCAGTAAAACATCAGTACTAAAAGGCTGTAACAACCAGGAAATAATTTTGAGCAATTTTGACTTTCCTGTAGAGAACTATTCTGGCCCACTAGTCACAAGGGACAAGAAGCAGGGAAACTTCATAAAATCCTTCTTACAATGCCAGCTTGGAGTTGCTCCAGGAACAAGCCTTTGGGGTTCATGTGTGTGGTATGCAGAGCAAGGAAGGGCAAAATGCATGAGAACAAATGGAAAAAGCTTACAGTGGTCCTGTACTGACTTGTCCAAGTATGGTCTGAACCTTACCATACATATTTATACACACACATTTACATGGACGAAAAGGTAAGAATGAATGCATTCAGGAGAGAACTGACTGGTGCATATGCAATGGAAACAAGGCTCCTTGGAAACTGGAAATCAGATACCTGAGAGTTTATTTAGGGATTCAAGGAAAAAGGGGAGGAAGCTGGCTTTTCAGCTACATGAGAGCTAATCATGAAGCAGAATAAATGAAATGGGATAAAATGAAACATAGATGCTGGGTCAACTGGAGCCAAAAAGTTTTCCCACCATATACACATGTTTCACACATGCAAGCCATGTAAAAATTTTAACATATCCACATAAACACAAATGGATTTATTCCATACTTCCAATTCTTCACAGACTTTGCAAAGAGAGACCTGGAATGGATGTGTTATATAAAAGCAGTGAAAGCACACAAAGATATGACTTCCTTTTTTTCCTCATCCTTTTATAATCAATCTACCTAGAATCCAGAAAGGAATCCTCAGTAAACTGTGAAATTAATCATGTTCACCCAAAGCTTCACATAATGAAATTACTTCTTGTATGTACAGGGGACATGCTGACCCTCCTATCTGACCAGTGGTTACATCTAACAGGACAAACTTGCTTATAAGCCACAAGGGAGCTACACAAATTCTAGGGATTTTGAAAGAATGCATAGTTAACATTGTTTCTACCCATGTCACCTTTTTCGCTTTAGATTTCAACTGAAAATTACAATTATGGGTTGGCTTACCTATTTTTCTAGCTTCTTCAGCAAAGTATGGGTCATTCATATCAACATCAGAGGGAACATCATCTTCACTGGCCTCTTCAGCAAGAGCCTTAAAGATGAATATAAAAAATAAATACAGTTTATTGTAAGGACCAAAACAAATAAATGTGAAGAAAAACCTAATTTCTTTTCAACCAAACAGTTCAATCTAAAATTAAACTAGTTTTCAAAAATGGCTAAGTTTACAAAATAACTTCTGATTAACTTTGTTTGTTCAACAAATACTTATGGAATACTTTATCAATGCAGGAACTATATAGGGCTTTTGAGAGAGACAACAGTTATCAGATATATGGTTTCTGTTTTCAAAAATTTTACGATCTATTAAAAGAAATTAGCCTCATAAACAAACGTATGGTGGTGGTTTAGTCACTAAGTTGTGTCCAACTCTTTGCGATCCCATGGACGGTAGCCTGCCAGGCTCCTCTGTCCATGGGATTCTCCAGGCAAGAATACTGGAGAGGGTTGCCATTCCCTTTTCCAGGGGATCTTCCCGACCCAGGGATTGAACCTGGGTCTCCTGCATTGCAGGCAGATTCTTTACCGACTGGGCTATGAGGGAAGCCCTAAACAACAAAGGTATATAGTAATAATAAAGATAGGAAGTTCCAGAAGAGACAAAAATAAAACACATTTGAGGAAAAGAATACTTTTGGATGGGTGATCAGTGAAGAGAGGTAGCCTTATCTCTCAGAAAATTGAGAAATGGCAGTGATTAACAACAGCATGAATTAGTGCACTGTGGAAGCCTGGTAGGCTGCAGTCCATGGGGTCACAAAGAATCAGACATGACTGAGCAACTGAACAAGTACATTGTGGCTTATCTTTCAAATCATTATTTAATGCAATTTATCTGCTGGTTAATTAAAGAAAATGATTCTTTGTTATGAAATTTCAAAAATACAAAAGAAGGTATAATAAACCTCCTGTTCTCATCACCCAATTTCAACAATCACTTTGTTTTATCTATAATCCATTCACGAAAACTTCTGTACTAATTTTAAGCACATCAATTGGTTACATTTTCCCTAATCAAATTTGAACAGTTTACTAAATTAGTGTATTTAAGTTAAAAAAAAATCAAGTCTATAAAGTAAACAGAATATATGCAAACTAAGACCAGACTAACCTGATGGAGTTTATCTCCAGGAATCTACAATATGAGTCATTTTAAGGAAAACATCTAGAATGCACATTGCTAAACATTATCCTACATGCTGAAGAAGACCCACCAAACCCTAAAGAATGTTCATTTTGGTATTACTATCCTTTTAAGAACAAGGACTTCTAAGAATTTTTCACCAAATTATTCTAATAGGTTTAGCAGCAATATGAAGTTTATAGCAAAGATTCTAAAATACTTATATATCTAACTACATCTTTATTTACATATTTTTAAAACTGTTCTTTTAGATCTAAATTATAGCTATATCAACTATGGCAAATAAGCATGTATTCATTTCTTCAGTAATAATCTCTCAGTATCAAACTGAAGTGACAAAGAGTTGGGGAAAAATACTTTTAACCTGAATTCTTCAGATTCTCCTGTATGTGGAGAATTTCATGAGATGGAGGAGATATGCTGAATCACCAAGTCCAGCACTCAGTCTAGAACTGAGCACTCAACAAACCTATTTTTAATATCATTGATAAAATTAGTCCATTCTAAGCTCAATAAAAGCAAAGGGTAAAAGCACAAGGAAATATCAAAGTACCAATCAAATGAAAAAAATCAAAATTTTTTGAAACTGAAAAAATCAAAATAAAAAAAAAACAGCTGCTAAATGTCTCACAGAAGAGTGACTACTTTTATTGACCCCATGAAGACCCACTTCTAAGTCTTCCATTAAACTGATGGCTTAATAACTTGTGGAAATATTCTCTTTTAAAGATATTTTACTGCCTGGGAGAGGCAGAATATCAATGTAGGCAGGGCTCTGACTTCATTTCCTCATTTCCTCATTTTTCTATCCATTTCCAGAAACACTGAGTGTTAAGAGGAGTACAAAAATCAGCCCACTGCATCATTGCATTCTGTAGCCCTCCTTCAATACTGCAGTGCTCATATCTACAGAGAGAAGGAGCGCAGTGCGGTAGAAGGAGTAACCTGGAGCAAGAGACCTGGATTCCGGCATCAGCCGGGCAGTTAACGAGGCACATATTCTCAGATGGATCACTTCATTTTCTACAACCATCAATATAAAACATCAGGGTTGGACTAAAAGTAATCATTTAAGATTTCTCAGGTTGTAAAATTCTCTGACTAGTGATATAATCTTAAGATAATGAATGAACTGCTAGGATGCTGCATTTCACTGACAAGACAGAATATTTTTATTGGCAGGAACCCTAAGTGTCTCTGTTATTACTAAGGATTCTAACTCTGGAAAGATGTTATTTCTGAATCATGGGAGTCAAATCAGATTTTTCACAGACAACATATTAGCACAGACAAAATATCTTCAAAAAAGGGATCTAATGACAATATGTTAAAAGATCTATATGCAAATATTGAAAAATTTCACAAAGTGTGAAAATGCATCTTGAGAAATATACAGAAAAAATTTCATTCATTCTGAAAATGTCTCTCTCTATATATATATCCCCAAGTAAAAATGCCTGTCTGTACCTCTCTTTCTCACAAACACAGAACAGAATCAAACTGTCTTACATCTAGAAATCAACTGAACTATGCATTTCATTGAGGTAGCACATAAATGTAAAATATTAGTGCGCAGCAGTTACAGCGGCTCTGATTTTTTATAGGTTTTATGCACCATTGTGTAACCTTGCAAAAAACACTTAACCTACCCCAGTGAGTGGTTACGTTATGAGACAATGGGTGCCAAGCACTGGCATCTTCTGATACTTAGTGGCTGTTCAATAATTATTCAATCATAATTACTGATACCTTTTGTTTCTTTTTCAGTCTTTTTTTCTCTTTCTTCTTCTCTAAAAATTGTTCCCAAGGGGTCAGTTTATCCTTTCCTTCCAATTTGTTTTTGACCATCTCTTCTGCACTTTCTTTAAGGCCTAAGGGAAAACACAAGTAGTTTAGTTTAAAATGTTGTATCTTCACTCACTTAAAAATGTAATTAACCGAAAAAGATTATTTTAATATATTTACTAGAGAAACAAAAAAATGCAATACTCCAATGTCACAGAGTAATGTAATATCAACCTACATCAAAGCTATTTACTAAAAACAAACAACTATAAACCTAACCAAACCAAAATAGATAAACAAACCAACTCAGCAGCTAAATATATGGTCAAGCTACTAAAGAAAACTCCTTTACTTAGGCTCAAACTTTATTTCTTGGTATGTAATTTACCACTTGAGACTCGAAAGGTAAGTGGTCTTTAACACAGTTATTTCTACTTGCTTCTGTTGCCCAAGTAAAAGCTTATATTCCCTGGAAACTACAGGTGACTAACAAAAATTGATTAGTAAGGCCATCTCTGTGGAAATATCCCTGGAGGAAAGAATTCCTGTAATTTCTTCTCAAGGACTCATTCTGTGAGTGCACATCTTTAAGATCAAAAGGGCCATCAAGTTCAGATTCCACTTTGCATGGTTTACGTTCTTTCAGTGATGTTATTCGCTCTTATAGGGTTCTTGCTCCTTATATTCTGTGGTTCCTGAGATGTTTCTCTGTGGCTAATGCAGTAACTAGAGAGGGGTGAGAAGAAAGAAAAAGCCCCAAGGCTGATCTATCAGTTCATGAAGACCTTACTACTGCCACAGTAAAGGAAATGTGAGCACTGTGTTATCACCTTTGATAAAACAAATGTTTATTTTGGAGTATTTTTGGGAGGTCATGTTTAGTTTGGAAAGAGGGATCTTTAATATTCCAAAATTAATGGAATGATTCGAGAGATGAGGTCAATCCAGATCATCTTCCCAGATACACTCTAAATTCTAAGAAAGTAAAAACCATTCTAAGGACATAATTCCCTTCTTCCCTGATGAGTATACTGAGACTGAGGATATTCAGCAGCTTGCCTAAGAACACAGAATAAGGAAGCTATATAGAGTTAGACTTTTAACTCCTAATTATCCTCTATACTATTACCAGATACACCTGAAATGCTGGTTTGATTGAGAATAAAGAAATGCATAGTCCACAAATAAAATCTAAAGCTTTGGGTCTCAGGTTCCTTATCTGCAAAGTGAGGCTGGGCTGGATCAGAAGCATACAACTTCTGCCTCCCACATACACTGTTCTTCCTCTTAAAAGAAAATATCTGGTAAAAGACCGAATGCACAAAAGAACTGAAAGTCATACTTTGGGTCCTAAGCCCCGAAGAAGAGCATGAAACAGCTGGAACAGATGATTTTCAAAGGTCCCCTCTTTGGCTTATAAACCAAGACTTAATCTCTAAATTTCTATAACTTAGAAAAGCATTAAGGTATAAGCATACTCAACGTTACTTAGATTAGTTTTCATGATACACTACTGGTATGTCTGATTTATGACAATACTCTCTGATTTATGGGATGCCAAATCAGAAACTCAACTCTCAATTCAAAAATGTTTCTTGTAAGAAAAACACAGTTCACTTTACTAAGCAGTTTTCAGGAGAAATGTGAACTGTAGAAAACATGTCCAGATCTCTGACTGAATCAACAGATACATAGCACCTTAGGAAATGTAAACACTGGCACTCACTTGGGAGAAAGCAGCAAATCCTGACAAAACAAGTTGATTTCAAATAGGAAAATAAAATAATTTATATGTTATGCCTGTGGGTCAGCACACAGTCCAGTCTCAAATTCTAAATGCACAGTACTGTTATTAAATATGTTTAAATAATAATCTTTAAGGTATTCTACTACAGTTTCCTCAAACACGAAGAAAGATTTTACTACTCCAAAATACTAAATTAAGCAATATATTTAGAGTCCCCCCACTCCCACCCCACCAAAATGTATTCTCTGGTTAATTTTAATCCTTGAAACATAAACTCTACTCCTATCTTGGCAAGATGTTAAGGAAGGTGTTTCTTTTACATGACTAGACCACTGGTTTAATGGGTCTCAATCTCTATGAACTACTCTAATGTGACGACTGGGTCCTGACATTTTTGGGGGGACATGGATATCCTTATAGTTTGGTAAGAACTATGGAATCTCTCTCTGAAACACTGTGCTAGAAAAACTTGTCTACAATGTTCAAAAGTTTATGGATCTTTAACCCTCATTTCTGTGGAAGGGCCCAAAGGGCCTCAGGCAAACAGCGTTACAGGGCAACAGAGGTCTCAAGGAAGGCGGGAGTCTGTCTCCCAACTTCAAGACTTACTGGCCCTGACATCTGTAGGCACTATATGAAGGTTTCTTATTTCAGTATGACTGTCATTTTGGACCAGATAATTCTCTGTTGTGAAGGCCATCCTGTGCACTGCAGGATGTTAAGCAATGTATCTGGTCTATCTACACTAGCAGCCAGTAGCCCCGGTCACGAAAATCAAAAATTTCTCCAGAATTGCCAGTGTCCTCTTGGGGAGAAAAATCTCAACTCAGTGGTTCTTAGTTGAGAACTACTGTTATTGACAATGATTAGAAGTCACTTCTGGAAAGAAGGGCTGTATTTCAATGTTTGTGTCACATAAACTATGAATTATTTTATTTGGTACTTGATTATAATAATGTCTTTCCTACTTCAGCAATTTCAACTGAGTATGCCTTTTCTTTCAACCAGAACAAAGGCAGCTAAAGTCACCTTCTTTTGTATCCCATAATATTCAGCATAGCACCAGACACATAGTCAGTACTTACCAAGCACTTAATTGATCTGTCTTGGAGAAAAAATTCTTCTTTCAAGCCAAGTGTTTGATCTTTAATGTTTGGAACATAGTCTCTCCAACAGAAAATGAATCAAAACTTTAGGATCTAAATAAATGGCCTTCATCCCGAAATGGTTCATGCAATTTTTTTTTTTTTTTTAAGGAGCTACAGCTCTAGAATAATTCATGAAATATCATTCTTGGGAAATATTTTCCTGGTATTTAGTTTGTTTATAACAATAAAGAAATAGCATCTTTAGTTAAATCCAGTCTGAAATTTTTTGCCTGGCTCTCCCTTATTAATACACCAAAATAGTAGAATGACAAACACACTGCAATGAATTAATACACCACCACGATAACTTAAAAATGCTTTGTTCTTGCTGTCATCATGAGGTCATTTAAATCTCTTGCCACAGATCACAGCTGTTTATATTCTAAATTCTTAAAAATATGCCCATCCCAGAAGCTTCTTGGCATAAGCACAAGAACATTCTTCAGACAGTTTTAGCCTCATTTGAGAGCAGCCACTATGTGACTGAAAAACAACTTCATTATAAATGTCTACTTTTGTGCTAGTTTGTTTTTTAAAAATTTTAAGCATATAGTCAAGGGCTGTTGACTTAGTTAAAAATAACATTAATAATCCTACAAATAAGGGGTGAGAAGCTCTTTAAAACCAACCATGAACAAAGATGACTCCAGTTTAACAGTAATTATTTAAGTACAATTTATTCAGAATTATTTTGGCAGTTTGCATACACACAAAAATACTTTCAAATATTCTTTCAAAAGCCTCTAAAATAAGAATATACATTTCTTCTGACCTAGCTCATTTCAAATTTTGAAAAGTCTTCAAAGGGCAGGACATGAATAATAATTTATAATAACTCAACTAGGTACTATAGTTGGTTTTGTTTATAGAAATAAAACAAATATTTTAAGATTTCTGATATAGGCTGAAACTGGCACTTTTAAAAAATGTATGTGAGAACTCAGGATCCACTGAAAATATTTATGAACACTTGTGGTTCAATCTTTATGTATGTTGTATGTTTAAATGAGGCCATGGTAACACTCAATTCCGAAAGTAGCTTCTGAAATGTAGCTAACTACCATCACCAGCTGAGCTCCCAACAAGGAATTCACTCTGGGTGTAAGGGCTTTTAGAGGAAAATAACCAACCATGCCCTGAGGAACACCGACATCAAAAATATCCCTTCAAACTGGTCAGTTTTCTCCAATGGTAGGGAGAGAGAGATATTTACTTATCCTTCAAGTGTATCAGATATGCAAAACTACAAATCTTTGTAATGAGAAAGATAAAGATTTGAAGTGTTTTCAACTTGGTTCAAGATTTGTTTATCACAGGAATTTTAGAACATTGTTCACAATTTGGTTCATAATCTGAACTTCTGTAACTCTTTTTCTCCTAAATTCTTATAGTATATTCTTTTATTCTGCTCTATTTAACACAGTTGCAACTTTACATTGATTTGTGTGATTTTTTTAAAAACTATTATTAATGGCTGTCTCCCTTACTAGGTTGCAAGCTCCATGACGGTAGAGGCTACAGCTTGCTTATATTTTTACCCCAACAAAGGTAACCCTATGCTAGTGGAGGGCCTACTACATAGCACATGCTCTGTTGAATGAATGCAAATGCAATTGAAAGGATACATAAGTCAAATTTGTTCCCAACCTTACAGACAGGGAGCAATAATTCATGAAATTAAAAAGTAAAATAACAACTAGCCCTGGGAACAATAGTAAATAACAGAATTTACCAATCAGCCAGACAGAGCCAACAAAAGCTCTTTGTATGCACGTAACACTCTCAGAATACTGTTACATCTACTACATGGAAACAACACAGACAGTTATAATAAAGATAAGAGAGTAGTATAGGTAAGCTATTTCGACTGGGAAGGCTTCTCATATAACACTTAATTCTGTTTCTCCTAAAAAAGTCAATGAGGTAGTCAAAGAAGACATTCCAAAATATGCACTAAATGAATAAATGTTAAGGCTTTTTATTGTTGTTCACTGTCTAAAAGCCATTTCAGTGGGTAGCAACTGGTTTACATTTGCCTTGAATTTGAGCTTATCATCCTCTACCCTCTTCTGAAACCTCTTTTACTCTCCCATAGAAGGATGTCTTCCATTTGCAAGTATATTCATTTCACTGTGAACTGAGCTGTCTCTGCTTCTTAGAATCAAATGTTCTTACAAAGCTGACTTCAAAT